GGTTGCGCTCAATCTATGGTGAGTTATTCCTTAAAATCAAAAAAGGGGGGGGGGGGGCCAACGATAACTTTCCTAGACGTCGACAATTGCTCCCGGGGTCAACCCAAAACATTTTGGGGCTCTCTGCCGTTTTGGTTCGACAGGGAGAGGTGACTCAGCGGGGGCGGTTAACTCAAGCAAGTTTACGGTATGCCGTGTCAAGAGACAAACAGAGGCAGCGCGGAGAACGAGAACCACCCATCAATCGAAAAATGCATAACCTATGCATAGAAGAACCTTTGAGATCAAAGACATCCCCACCCCCAACCCCCAAGCTCCTCCACCTCTTCGCGGCCGGGATAGGCTCTTGCACGCAAGCTTCGAAGGTGTCTTTACCATCATTGGAAGAGATACAGAAAGACGTTAAAAACAGTATGCCGTATCGAAAGGGGTACGCGGTGAGAGCTCAAGTTACCTAGAGGCAAGCCTCATTGAGTATCCCCATACCTCCCCTGCCTGACCGAGGAAATTCCGTCATGCACCGGCCCGGCTTTGTGTTCCATGTGTTTTTCCCAGGAGTCTATGGCCTGCGATATGCTTGGTGACCCCCTTCCCCCCTATCCGGCAACATTTTGTTGACAGGTGCCGTCCGAGCTGAGCGGCATGGTGATGGGAGGTGGCGGTGGTGGTGGATACGGGCGCTACGGGCGTTGATTGGGGCTTGTCGGAATGAAGCCGGCGGCTGGTGGAGCGTGCTTGGCGGCCATGGAAAAAATAATGGAAGATAAACAAATCCAGACGACGAGGACTACGGGATGGGGGGTGATGTTTTTTTTTTTTTTTTGGCAATACGGGTCTCACCGTTGGCCCTCAAAGGGGTACTGTATACAGCTTGAAAAATGGATTGGGGATGGAGACGAGAAGGGTGCAAATTTGGTACCTGTGATATAGTCTAGAGGGTAGATTGGATATTGTGACGGATGGACGGGGTACGATAGGGTGGGGGCAAGGCACACAAGCAGTGTGCACCCCCAGCATGAAGAATTATACAATAGACAGCCTTTTTATTTTCGTCGGCCGTGTCTGTCGCTCCTACCTATCGCACGGTCTTCGCCCTCCCAACGGAATGGGTTCCTCTCGGCTAGACTATTCCCAAGGTGGAACAGTACAGACATGTTGGGAGGCGCCGAGAGAGAGCAGGTTTTGGGCTATCGTGCCTTCCTTCTTCACGACTAGTTGATAAAATTGATTGGGCGAGGGGGACAACAAGTCAAATATGACGAGAAGAGAAGTTGATGTGTCTTTGAAGTGACTCGAGTATATCGTACTTCGAAGCATATGCGTACATTCACCTATAGTATGTCGGGTCCAATGCGGCGTTGAGAGTACCTTCCCCTGTTCTTTCGGTTGCTCGTATACTGCGTCAACTTTCGCCAGTGTTCTTGCGCGGGTATGTTGTTTTGCAGGCGCCATGTGCGGATATACGTTTTTTTTGGGTGCCCGCTACCACTGCGGTAATTAGAAAACAATAACATTTTGTTCGGGTACTGTCGATCAGGTGCGTGAGGGTGGTGTGAGGGTGTTCATTCTATGCCCTCATTCTTGCCGTCGTTTGCGTAGCGTTCACCACCGTTTGGGTGGAGGATGTAACGCGCAAGGAAGCAAAGTGATCGGCTGATAAAATACAGAACGATCAAGCGCCGGCGGAGTGAATGAAGTATATGGCCTATGAACCTGTGCGCTACCGTAGCGGGTCGATGGAGAGGGAGGAATTCCTTCACTGACTGCAGTACCATCGCTCAAGCTACCGACGATGCTTGGCCCCCTCTACCAGCTAGCCACTGGGGGTGTCGTGGGAAAGGGCATGCATGCACGTAGGAACTCATCAACGGTCCGTGCATGCACCTATATCGCCAAGGTTTCCCTGAAGGGGTGCATTCTCCCGAAAATATTGGCGTTGCACACCCAGGCCCCATATGTATGTTCTACACCCAGCAACACGCTGCACCCCGTTCGTATGCATTATTTTTTTCCCGATTGTACCACACTATTGTGTTTACCGCTTCGCAATCAAAAGGGGGGATCGTCCCTTACACCTCCCAATACTAAACACGTAATGTCACCTGCAATCAAAGTTTGAAGTGCAAAGTCTGTGCCCGTACGTGTAGTTTACGAGACGTTCCGAAAAGGCAAGGAGACCACGGGATCACGACAGCGATACTGCTGCGATGCGCGCAGGCCACCAACAGGTACTCGAAAATGCGGGTCAGCTACGGAGATCAGACCAACGACGGATAAAAAAAAATGACCCCACGACAGACACGGTAGCGAATATAAACCCCTTCGATACAAGCCTTGAACTCCAAGCACAAGACAATTCGCGCAAGACGGTCCAACAGACACCCTCGCAAATTGTTTGTGGTTGGACTACCTCTGCCCACATGGGTCCAACTAGTGAGAAACCTACTCCCCACCTCGATGACTAAGATACCGCGTACTATTTACAATGAACAGCAGATGACGTTTTGCTGGACAGTTCCATCGGACTGGTTAGGTCAGAAAACATCCCGCATCGTAGGTCGTCGTGTCGAAGGCATGCGTGCGACGAGGCCACTCCATACCCGTTCAGGACCCAATGAGAAGTGGACGGCTGCAAACAAACAGCAACGACGGCATACATGGTAAGAGGGGGGGAGGGCGGAAGGGAGCGAGGGGGTGTCATCAATGTGCAGCGCTTTGAGGCCAATGAAGATCCTTTGGCTGTGCTTGACATTGTTTTAGCTCCTTCGAGCGGTGTTGAGGTGCGCCTCAAGGGCATCTGTTACCTACCATGTCCTTCCGTGCGGTGCCTTTTGCCACCATTCCTTGCCACGAGAAAATCAGCCTTGGTGACGACAAGCTACACATCAAAGGTGGTGGCCGGAGAATGAACCGTATCACAGCACATCACCACGCAGCAGGAACAGCACTACAGCAGTGCGAGAGCTACACCAGGGGGATAAACTGCGGCGCGCCTGCGTTGTTCACCTGAGCGGGTGGCTAGTCCCCTGGGGTCGGGTCGGTGATCTCCTGCTTGAGTTCCTTGACCACCTTCGTCCACCATCGCTTGAGAAAGAATTACCGAGGCGAATGAGGGAGAAGGGAGGCGGCAGTAGACAGATCATCTTCACACAGTTTCCGCGTGTGCAACTCCGCTCGTCAGGTTGCTCTATATGTCATCTCACAACGCTATGCTTGGCGAGGGGGATAGGGGCTAAGAGTACACCAGTATCACATGGTCACATCGCTTGCCTCACGGAGGCGTGATGCTCCAATTGTTTTCGGCTCAGTACGAGGCGTTATGAACAGTGCACTTTTTGCCAAAGTTTGCAAGCTTTCCAAAGCAGTGCAACTCGAGTTCGAAGGCAAACAAATTGAATAAATCCCAAAGATAGGAAATTTTACCGTTCCAGATTTTCTGGGCCTTACTCGCTTCCAGCGTTTTCGATTAATTTTCCACTTTTTTCGATGACTTCCAAAATGTTTTGAAAGTAGAAGTTTGTAAAATACAGTCATGTTCAAAACGCCCCCAAGAGGTAAGCCTTCTGTCCGTGCCTCTGCTGTAGCAACAGCTTGTTGGTGGCATCGTGCGGGGCAGCCCCACACGCACCGATATATAAAGTCAACCGCAAAACACCCATGGGCGGTACGTTCTCATCATCGTTCAGGCGATCATACCCACAGAGCAACGTACCAACCAACACCACGCTTACCTCTTTCTCCACTTCTTTCGCCGGTGGAGGCGACGGCGGCGACGCCCGGGCATAGCCAAACTTCATCATGAGAGAGAGTTTGGTGGGGAACGCCAAGAAAGGAGAGTTCATGGCGGTTTCAAAAGTGGTAGGAGGGGGGGCGGGGTCCTCCGACGGGACACTGTTGTTCTTCTCATCTCCGGAGATAGACTTCGAGAAGCTCGGTCAAAGGAGGACGGCTTGGCCTGCAAATAGAAAACAGGGGCGGCGGACGCGAGAAAGGCGGGGGGGCGGGGGGGGGCATGGGCATGGAGAGAGCGGGACTAGCGAGTGCCGGTCAGCTTCATCTGTGGCCCGCATATTTTGCGTCGTCGATAGGGTGGATCGTTCGTGCTAGCCACTCCGTTACCGCTTGCATACCTCTGTCAGACAAAACATGCTCTTGCCAACTCCGTTTGCCCGGTTGGCGCTCTATTTGCGTCACCCCTC